TGGCTAATAAACAGTGGTTTGATAAATTTTCAGATTCTAAGCTGCACCTTACTGCCCCATCTTTCTCTGACCATTTTGGTTTGGCTGTGAAATGGAATGCTTCCTGTGCTGCTGGGCCTAAACCTTTTAAATTCTTGAAGATTTGGCGCTCCCAGGAGGAGGTGGATGAAATTTTTGCTAATGCTTGGAAAGTTCAAATGCAGGGCAGCCCAATCCATCAGTTGATGCAGAAACTCAGAAATTAAAGCTGGAGTTAAGAAGTGGAATAAGAGTGAAGGTTTAATTTCAGAGCAAGTGCAAAATGCTAGGGAGGAGATGTTGCATGCTCAGGGAAGAGATTATAAGTAAAGGAGTGTGCGTCAAGGGTACAACATTTAACTCATAGAGGAGATTTTATGGGCTCAAAAATCAAGGATATGATGGTTCTCTGAGGGGGACAGATGCACTTCATACTTTCACAACACAGCGAAGCAGAGAAGGTCTTATAGTGCTATAACTCAGTTTAAAAATGAGGATGGTTCTGATGACCCAACTGTTATGAAAGCTTGGTTGGTGGAGCACTTCGAAAAAATTTATGCTTCTGTGGAATCTGTTGGTGCTGTTAGGCAACCTAGAAAGATCCTATCTGCTGTAGAGGCTAATAGGTTGTAGATGAACATTACTGCAGAGGAGATTGAACAGGTAGGTAAAAAATTTCATCCAGACAGGGCTCCTGGACCAGATGGCTTCCCAGCCAGAATTTTTCAAAAATAATGGAGTGTGGTTGGACAGGATGTCATCACTGCTGTGCTTCACTTTTTCCACTCTCTTAAATTACCTAAGGAAGTAAATTCTACTTTCCTTACTTTGATACCTAAGGAACATCATGGTGATGAGATTAACAGGTACAGACCTATATCTCTACACAATTTTCTCTACAAAATAATTGCTAAAATTATGGCAAATGGGCTGAGTGTGGTGCTTATTTCTCTGGTAGGCTTAGAATAGTCTGCATTTGAAACAGAAAGATTCATGACAATATCCTTCTGGTTTCTGATCTGATAAGGAGCTTTGGATGGAAGAGAGGGGATCCAGCCAGGGCTCTTAAAGTGGATTTGCAGTAAGCTTATGATTCTATTGAGGATACCTCAAAAATTTGTTGGTTGCTTATGGATTTGGTTCTAGATGGATTGACTGAATCATGGAGTGAATTTCAACTCCTCCTTTTTCTATACTGTTTAATGGTGTGCCTGCACGATAATTCTCTTCTCAAAGGGGCCTAAGACAGGGCTGTCCTCTGTCTCCATTGTTGTTCTTCTTGATAACTGAGCACTTCTCTGAGTTGGTAATGGAAAAATTGAATCTCGTCAGCTTCATTGTTGATGATAATGGTTAAGGCCAGTACCTCTTCTGCTAAAGCCCTTGATGAGGTGTTTAAATCCTTCTGAGCAATATCAGGCCTGCATGTGAATAAGGAAAAGAGCTCCATAATTTTTTAAAAGGCTGTGAGGAGGAAGAAGAGGACCATGGAGGTATTACAATTTGCAAATACTGAATTCCCAATTCAGTATTTAGGTGTGCCCCTTTCTGATAAGGACTTAAAGGCAGCAGATTTTAAGAAACTGTTTGATAAGGTGAATGGCCAAACTATCACATTGGAATTCAGTGAATATTTCTATTGCATGAAGGCTGGAACTCATCAAATCAGTGTTATATTCCTACTTGTACTATTGGCTATTTGGTTTTAAAAAACCCCTAGGAAGTTCAATTGTGGTTGGAAAGAAAGTTCAAGCATTTCTTGTGGAGCGGAAAAACTAATATAAGGAAGATGGCTCAACTAAGATGGAAAAATGTGACCTTACCTTCTGCAGAGGGTGGTTTCAATATCAGGAAAGTCGCCAGGGGGATGGTCAACCACCTATCGATCAGAATTACACTGGCGCCAGAGGGGATCTCATCCATATGGGTAAGAAAGTATGCTTTATATTCCTTAGTTTGGGTAAATTAGCTTGGAAATGAAGAGCATGAGCAACCTCAAGTAGGTGCCTATATTTACGTTCAACAACACCATTTTGTTCGTGTGTGGCAAAGCAAGATGTTTGGTGAATAAATTCTGATGAAGCAAAGAAATCTTGCATTAGAAATTCTGTCCCATTATCGGTATGCAACCAAATTATCTTTATGCTGGGATTTACTGCAGCAAAAGGACAAAGTGTGGGTGTCATGGTTTAGATTGAGATATTTGCATATCTGTTCCTTCTGGAATGTGGTTCCTAAAGCAAATGACTCTGCAGTTTGGAAACAGATTGTGGATGTGAGGGACATGATGTTAAACCATTGCACTTATAAGATTGGTTGTGGGGATAAATTTTCCCTTCTGCTAGATCCTTGATGTGATGGTATGTCCCTTGTGCAGAGATTTGGTGCCAACAGGTTTAGAGGCTATGCTCATCAAGCAAGTCTTAACTCGATTATTATGAAGGCAATGGAGGTTTAATGGTCTTTTCCCTCAAGAGGCCAGGCAGGTTGTTGCTGCTCTTCCTGTTAGAGATGAGCCTGATGTCATCAGCTGGAATCATGGTCAGTTTAGTTTGAAATCAGCTTGGAATGCCTGTCGAGTGCATAGTTAGATTCTGAGATGGACAAAGCTTTGTAAGAAATTCTGTAGGCCTAGAGTGTCTGTGGCTGTGACTTTGATTTTATAAAACAGAAACTTGTCCAGCGTGCACCTGCAGAGAAGTTGTATTGTGCTCACTTCCATCTGTCACGATTGTTTTGGGGCTGTGGATGACAATAATCACCTCTTTTGCTCCTGTTCTTTTGCTGCTGCTGTATGGAGAGAGGTGTTAGGCAAAATTAATATAGTGGCTGGGGATTTTGAAAATATAGATGTTTTGGTCAACTGGTTTCTTCAGCAGACTAGGATTGGTTCTATAAGATCGAATGCACTGTGCTCTGTATTTGTTAATACTATATAGACAATTTGGCCTCACAGGAATTTAGTTCTTCATCAAGGATGCAAAACAAATTATGAGGCTACTGCTACCAATATCTTATGGGAGGTGCTCTTCTCAATGAAGTGCTCTCTTGAGGACTTGTTACTTATTTTTCATTAGTATATGGTGTTTTGTACTAGATGGTGGTGGTTTGGCCTATACTGGAAATGGGCTTTCTCTTTCGTCTTATTTTGTAATTAAGGGGTATGCCCCTTATATATTGTGTACCATTAATTTTTTCAATTATAAAATAATCCCATTTAGGACAAAAAAAAAATCACCCATTCCAACCACGATACCTTGTATCTCAATTCATTTGCAAACCCCTCTTATAATTGTTTCATCTAGAAATTAAAATATTTTACACAGTTGTTACATCTCGAGCCTGATCCAACTGCTCTGATTCCTTCCCTTACTCTTTGTTTAGATGGATATTCATAGTGAAAAGTGAAAGTAAAAAAAAGTAAAGAAAATGAAAAGAAAATAAGTTTTCTATCGTGCATTGTTTAGGATGAAAAATTTTCAAGAAAAATATGAGAAATTACCATTTTATGATTTTAATAACATGAAATGTATTATTGTAAGTCCATAAAACTTTCTCAAGAAATCAAAATTTTCCTGTATTTTTTGTAGGAAAATTTTACAAGAAAGTTAGGTGGTAATGGAAAGTAATTTTCCCTCAAAATTTTCCTTTTCTCGCTAACCAAACTCCTAAATTGTTCAAAAATTTTACATTCCCTTTCTTTTCTTGTTGTTTCCATCTAGCCAAAAGGAGCATTAGATATCTGAAGATTGCTGGACTTCACAAAAAAGTAAAAGTGATGTCATAACTGCAATCACATTTGAACTAAGGTCACTTGAAGTTGTTATTGCATGTCTTCATATCCCTCACCTAACAACAATCCCCTCCTCATGAATATCCTCACTCTGCAACAAGGCTAAAGAATAAAATTTTCCAATCGATGACTTCGGACACTTGAACAAAGGCTTGGATAATACTCATCGCACTTTTGTGTCTACTAATCATGATGGTTTTTGTGTTCAGTACTCCTCCATTCTAATGCTCATGCTCCACCTGACCAAACCTCTTATGATGCTCCAAGCTCAATGCATATTGGTTCAATGTCCATATCTTTCCAATGATACAATTAAGATTTATAGTCGATGTTCCAACAGCAGCGCCACTAGAAAAACTGGCACTTAAATGTTGAATGGCAACAAAATCATATTAAATTTGTGCCGTTGTTGAAGGATTTAAATATTAAAGTTACACCCTCTCCAACTCTTAAAACACCATCTATCAATTAAGGAAAAATAATCTAAATGGCTGTTGTTGAATGATTTAAATATTAAAGTTACACCCTCTCTAACAGCTTAAGCTTTTAGAATGGATGGTTGTCAACATGGGTCCTGTGTTCAAACCTCATGATGGAGATCCTGAGCCAACAGGTCTATGCACTTACCATAGGCGTAGACGTAGAGGATGTCACTTTTCTGTTTTATTAAATTTTTTAATTTCCTTGTTTATTTAGGGTTTATCTTTCCTATTATTTTATATTTGACTTTCCTTAATCATTTAGGGTTTTTATGCCTATATATTTGGGTGATGGATACATTATGAGACATGTTTTATGAATATTGATACAGTTATTGAGATTATTGTTGAAATTTCTTCCCTCTCTATTCTTCTTCTTCTCCCTCAAACTCTATTCTTCTTAACCCTATATCACCTCACCATCACCCTGATTATTATAATTGAAAACATGTGTTGGACCAAAAAGAAGGCCACATATGAGGGGGCGTATAATGTTACCCCACATTTGCTATTCAATGTTCTATCCTATTCAAGATCTCCTTCTCTTAGAAGATAATAGTTAAGAAACGGTCTTGCATATAGGATGGTCAAATACGATACTTTGGGGACATAAATCTCAAGGTGTCATACTGTTAAGCACCAAAATTCCCTGAACGTCATTAAGCCATTCCATATAGAAAAGTGGCAATAAAGGCAGATATACAACTAACCCAATCATTCTTCTTCCGATAACTTTGAATCCCACAGCGAGTGAAAGAAAAAATTCCAGCAAAAAGTCCTAAAGAATAAGAGAGTATGAAGCAAATCTTGTAAGATCAAAATAATTGAAAACATGAAAATCCTAAAATCATCAAAATAGGTGATAAGAAACACTAAGAAACAAATCAGTAGCTCCAAAAAGGGCATAAACAAAAAAATCAGTAGCTCCAAAAAGGGCATAAACAAGATATTATTAGAGTTGTAAATGCAAAAGCAAACAATCAACAAAATGCAAAATAGTGAAATGATGAAATATGGGGTGAAAATGGAACTTACAAGGTCCTGTAAACTGGGTTAAAATTAAGTATTGAATGCATAATCATACAAGTACCAAATCAGATACTCCCTCAATTATTATCAAGCGAGAACATACATGCAGATGCCCTCAGAGAAAATAATCATACATTTAATAACATTAATGTTATTTAACTATCATATTCCAGAAGTTGATGAAAATGGAAGCACCTAATGAAATTGGAAGGTGAGATGTGAACAGCAAATGTCACGCGGGAGCACATAATTCTAATAAAATACTTTTAGATGCTCTAAGGGCACTTATCATACATTTAATAACATAACTTTAAATATTTTAATAAAATACAAATGTTAATGAAAATGGAAGAGCATTATCAATACGAAGATGAGATGCAAATGGCAATGTCACGAAAAGCACCAAAATAGTGCTAGCATCATGGACAAAAATATCCAAGTATGTTCAATACATCTCAAATGTGACAATTTTGCTGCTTCCGCACAAGAAATTACAAGACATGCAGAGTACATACAGAGCTGGCGATATATTGCAAACATGACAAAAAATGACCAGTGTATATTTTGACTCTACTAAAAACATGTTAACATTCTGATTAACAAAATCAGTCACATCGCCAGTAGCTATATATTGAAAGCCTCAATAATCACTTTTAGTTCCAGCATATGGCTAATCAAGATTCTTTTTTCTCAGTTTCCTTGAAGTGAAGAAGTTATATTGCCAACGACTCTGCCTAAAAGGAATGACTATTTTGAACATGCATGCCCAACAATGTATGCCTATTGTATCAAGATTTTAGTTTTAATATGTACATATTGTTAAAACATCAAGACATGCTAGAGCAATAAAATCCATCATACTTTTAAACTTCACAATCACCTTCGACTGGATCATTCACTTTAATGCAATTAAGGAGTCAAAACAAATATTAGGGGAAGGAGATGATCAAAACTTGTTAGGTTGTCATGTTTATGGAACCTTTCCTTTATACAACGGGGCAAAAAGGCTTCATCTCACTGTTCAATATTAAGAGTCACATGTTACTAAAACAATTAATCCAACCTAAACAGTTATATAACCACAATTTCCTGATAAGATCAAAGCAGCAAATGATGACCACCAGTGTAAGGAATGAAGACTCAGCCATTCTCAGATATATTCTTTAAATCAAAGAAGCAGCAACAAGAATTATTCCTTGAATATTGAATGCATTGTCCGATGCCTAGAAGGTTAAACTAAATCAAAGCCCTAGTGTCACCAACGCTATCCATTTCTATCCACTAAAAGCAAGGACGTAAGCAAAACAAAATTAAAAAATAAATTCCTAAAGTCAACAACAACAGGGTTTACAAGCATAAATTAGCAAGCATATAATTGTCCTTGTATAATTTGGATCATTCAAGAACTATGACATGCTAAACCGAATTAGTGTGTTTTCGTACCACATTGAAAGCCGAATTTACCAACTGACTTTGCCTGCAAGAGATTTAAAACAGTACAGTAGTCAAATTAAAGAGCATAGATTCTTTTCTTGAAAGTTTAAGCAAATGCAAACACACCCACAAGGGCTCCAACTCTCAATCTACCCAAATTCATGCAAAATAAATAAGAAAAATAAATAAGCAAAACAATTCAGATAAATGCTCACATACAAGTATATAATACATACATATATAGGTGTAATTGAAAGAAAAAGAAAAAAAAAAATTCGTTACCACGAAAGAAGCACGGGCGATTCCGGTGAGGCCTATATTTGAACGATAACACAATAAACAGATAAAACTGATTAAAATGCATAATTTGGTTAAAAATTGTGAATAATTTAATTGAATTCAAGAACTATGGAGTACCTATTTTGTTAGCATCGTACGGACCAGAGCATAGACCCCAGATTATACCGGCCTGAAATAAAAATTAAATCACTTGCCGCGTAATGAATAATGATAGCACAATTTGAAGTTTTTTTTCTTTTTCGGTAAATAGCACAATATGAAGTTTAATATAGAAATATTAAAACCACAGGGAAAGAAAAAAAAAAACCAATAGAATAGAGAGAGTCGCTAACAGTTCCGACGCGAAGGACGGAATCGACGGCGAGAGAAGAGCAGGGTGCGATGCCGACGATGTCTACTTCCTCCATCTGTCCATTCATTCAGTAAAATGTTTCATTTTAGGGACATCACATTCACGCGTTCGGATTCTCTATCGTTTCGGGTCGGTGCTGTACGAGTACGATGTCGTTTTGAGACCCGAATTTAAGTTTTTCTCTTCTTGGCCTTTTTTAATAATCAATTAGTATATACACTATTGTATAATTGTATATTACCATTGTATAAAAAACACAGCGAAAATGAATATTGCAAACTAAAGGGTAAAATATATATATATAAATAAGAAAGATATATAGGAGTAAATATGAAAGATGACTCCTAAGTAAACATAGGAGTGGTCTATTTTAAAATTTTATCTTTTAATTTGATTAAATTAAACAAAATAATCACAAAGGCAAAGTTCGAAATACTCCCAAAATTCTTATTCTTAAATTTCAAAATATCATAATAGATACTTGAACTCTTTTGCACTAACGTAAAACATTAAGTAAGCCGTGCAAATAAAGAACGATTGAAACTCCGTTTTCATAACAAAAGAAAAGAGGAAGATGTTTGAGGCCGGAAGGATTGACTTTTTTGATGTCAATAAACTCGATAAAATCTTTGATCAGTTAGTTAAAAAAAGAATTAATATTTATATGCTTGCTCAAGTGGGCAAGAAAAACAAAATAATACATTTGCTGTGTGTATATAGAGAGAGTGAAGAAGTTTCTTACCGGTGGTAGGCAACAGGCACGATTCCGGCATGGTACTCGGCTATCTTGAGGAACATGGGCATGGCGAGGTCAAAGTGGGGTCGATGGAGGGTTGCACCAGTCACCATTGTCATTGGGCATGGCAAGGTCAAAGTGGGGTCTGAGGAGGGTTGCACCAGCCACCATTTTCGTTGGGCATGGCGTGGTTTTCTGGGCAGAAGTTAGTGGTAGTGATGAAGATGGGTAAGCTAGATCCCGGAGTGACACCAACTGGGGTAGTTGGCGCACTTGATCTATGTTATACAGTATTGTATTAGTTATTATACATGTATAGTTAAATTACATTATATATTACTAGAGTTTCATGTATTCTCTAGCCGCTAGACCTGTCAATTGAATTCAATCCGATTATCCGGATATGAATTGAGTAACAAATCCGATAACACGATAATAATTCGAATCCGTTAATCCAATAGCTTAACAAATTGAATTTGAATTAGGCCAATCCAATTTGATTAAAATAATATATTATTATATTTATATCTTATAAATTGGGTATATCAACAGTCGCATTTGTATAAAAACGACTAATCATAATGGTATATATATTTACATAGTGTGTTCTCACCTACACTAGAACATTTCCCTTATACATAGCATTATGTCAAGGGCCTAGAGATTTGGTGCAGCGACACGACCCGTGCGGCACCCAGGCGTTGCTTCAGCTCGCGCAAGCGCCCTGGTCAACCACCACGACCTGCCCTCCCAAGGATACATGCTGACTGGTTTCGGCCTGCCATGGCCTCGTCAGGAGAATGGCTCCAACTCCCGACCAGTTTGTGCAGGGATGGCCAACTCCCTTTTTCATAGTCAAGTCCACGATTAGCGACAAGCACCTCGAACTGAACCGAGTCGACCTACCTGAACTCTGAAGAGGTACCATCATGTGGTCCTGCACGCCCCTTCCCTGGAACCATTCCCAGTCAATGAATGCTCTTTGCCAACCAGCATGCGTGTCTTCTATGCTCATGGCGTCGTTAGGAATCGGAACGTGACAATTAGCTTCACAACCCACACAACAGAATGGAAGTTTCAGAATAGCGTGATATTTTGAGGAGCAAGGAAAACGACGACTGGAAGAGAGCTGGTTGATGGACGTCGGAATCCTTGCCGGAACTTTCATTTAGCCAGTATTTTACTTTCATATTCTCTCTCCCTTCCATTCTTTTATTCCTTTTCTTCTTCTTAGAAGCCCTAATTTTCTTTCATCCAAAGTTGTTTCAGATTTTTTTCCCATCTTCTTCTTCTTCCTCTCACTCTCATTTTCCTTTCTCTTTATCTCACTGTTACCTTAAACTTGAAAATTTTGAACATATTATTAGTAAAATCATGCGATTATGATATTTGGGTTTTAAGTCAATTTGCACTCATTGCTTGATTTGTGGAAAATGATATAATTTAATTGGATCGGATTGTCGGATCGGACATCCCATAATATGTGTTTCGGATATGGATTCATTAAATAAAAATCTGTCAGATTATTGGATCAAATCGGATCGCCTATTGTGCTTATCGGATTCGGATTGGATTTACTATGATCCGGTCCGAATCCGATCCGTTGATAGGACTAGTAGCCGCCTTCTCCTATCCCTCATTACCATATATAGGGTTTATTTGTTCTGCACTCACCTATTCATGCAACTTCTTCTATATAAGCATTATTATATTATTGTATTACTAACTCAATAACATATACGTTTTCATATATTCTCTCTCTTTTTCAACATGGTATCATAGCGGAAATCGATTCCTCTTTATTTTTTAATTTTTTATTTTTACAGTCTTACTCAGACTCTGATCTTGATTCCATATTGGTTTTCTCTTAGCAATCTCTTCTCGACGATCTCTCTTCGGTGATCTCGGTTATCGCCTCGAAAATTTCTCTCGAATCCCTTTTCAGCTCTCTCAATACTTTCTCTCGGGTTCATCTCGACTTGATCTTGGTTCTCTTATCTTGGCTCCCTCTTGTTATTATATCTCATTTGTTTGGCAATTTTTGTTATGGATACCAAAGAAGCTCATCTTCTTGGGTCAATAACCAGCACCAAAACCGAAAGGCTCTAACTACCTTCAATGGTCTCGAGCTGTAAAGATGTTCTTACAAACCCACAGTGATAAAATATTATTGAGGCTTAGGAGAAAGAAGATGCTCAGATTATAACTTGGTTATGGAATAGCTTGGAGCCTGAGATCTTTTACAACGTGTCATTCCTAGAGTCTGCCAAAAAGATATATAGGAAAATTTCAGGGACATGTATTATTCAAAGAAGAATATTCACGTATTTATCAGTTGTACCAGGATATTTTTAATATCTAATAAGGACATCGTTCTGTTGAAGATTATTACTCGGAATTGAAAGGTATATAGGAAGAATTCAATGTCTACCAACCATTGACTACACACGTAGAATAACAAAAAGGGCACACAGGGATGAGTTTCGGGCTACAAATTTTTTATCTAGACTTAAACCTAAACTCATTCCGATCAGTTTGTAGATTTTGTCTAGCAATGAGATACCCACAGCTTGTTAGACTTTCACTCGAGTTCGAAGTGCATCTATTTATGCCCCTGTGATTGAGAAGGAAAACCGCTCTGCCCTTGTTGTTCCTACTAAGTGACATGATACTTTTCATGGAGGACGAGAGGGCAGAGGTCCTTCTAACCCAGGTTGTGGTACTCATGGCTGCAAAGGGGGTCGCGGTAGTAAGAATTGTTCTCATTTTGGCCGAAACAATCACTCTATTAACTTCTGCTGGGCTCTTAATGTCAAGCTATCTTGGGCTAATCAAGCTTCAGTTCAGGATGAGACTACTCCCACTCCTACAAATAAAAAAACAGTTCTCACCAAAGCCGAGTATGATATCTGGTAAAGCGGTAAAGCGTGAGCATGTAAATCAGCCTTCCTCCACCGCTACTATTGTTACTACAGGTAATACCTGTCTCCATGTTTTATCTTTTGTACCTTGGATCATTGATTCAGGGGCATCCGATCACATGATAGGTAACCCATCTCTTCTTTTTGATATTTCTCATGTTTTCTCACCGTCGATTATTACTAGCGAATAATGCCAAATCACATGTTCATGGAATTGGTACTTCCGCACTTTGGGTCTCACTTTTTCATCAGTTTTATAAATACCTCAATTTTTAGTCAATTTATTGTCAGTTTGCAAAATCATATCAGATTTCAATTTCTTAGTTATTTTTTCTCCTTCCCGTTGTGTATTTCAAGATCTCAAGATGAAGAAGACGATTGGTGGGGGGTTTGAGAAGGATGATCTATACTACTTCCAACTAACTACTACTCCGACAACTATACATTCCACCTCCTCTTCAGCTTACTAGTGGCATTGTCGCCTTGTACATCTCTCTTCAAATAATCTTCGAACCTTGGTCCCTTCTTTAGTTAATTTTTCTAAGTTCAAACTTAACTTGCGAACTCAATAAACATTGTCGAGCTACTTTTAAGTCTCATTTTGATAATAAAAGTTTGAAATCTCTTGAGTTAGTACATTCGAGTGTATGGGGACCAGCTCGTACTATTAGTTTATTTGGTGCTCCTTATTTTGTGTCATTTGTTTATGATTATTCACGATTAATTTAGGTTTATATTCTTAAAGATAGATCTTAAGTATTCCCTATTTTTCAATCTTATTATGCTGAAATTCAAAATCAATTTAATGCAAAATTATTTGTTCTTAGAAATGACAATACCCTTGAATATAAAGTCAATATTTTTCAAAAGTTTCTTGAGTCAAGGGCATTAACCATCAAACATCTTGTGTTGATATCCTTCAACAAAATAGAATTGCTCAGCGGAAGAATGGACCACTCCTAGCTATGATTCGTACTTTAATAATTCAACTGCATGTCCCAAAACATTTTTGGGCAGATGCAGTTTTGGTTCCTCCTTCAAGGAAAAGTACCCTTCCAAATAATGTTTTCTGACAAAAATATTTTTTTTATTCCTCCAAAGGTGTTTGGGTGTGTCTGTCTTGTTCATAATCTAAGCTTGGGATAAGATAAACTTGATCCTCGTGCCCATTAATGTATTTTCTTGGGTTATTCTCACACTTAAAATGGATATAAATGCTAGAGTCCAACTCTTAGAAAACAATTTATGTGTGCAGATGTAACTTTCTTTGAGGATGTTTCTTATTGTTCCTCAGAAGGCATTCATTTGGAGGACTATGTTCTTTAAGAGTCTGTTCTTCCAACTTCGGTTTTTGATTCTGACATCCCACCAACTCTTTATGTCTATGCTCGTCGCTGGAAAAGAGTAGTTGATGAGCACTGAAAAGTGCGTATTTAAAC